AATTAGGCAGAGGGAAAACAGGAGCCAGTTGGGGAGTCATGGAGGGTCCAGCAGCTTGGAAGACTGTTCATTCTACTGTGACCTGGAGTGAGATCCTGACTGGGTGCAGAGCCTCTTTCCCAGGTTCAAACTCTAGTTTCGTGGCTACATTCTCCTTCTCTCTCCTCTCTGTGTGTCTCCTTTCTTTCCTCTCTGTTCTCTACCTCAGTTGGGTGAATCAAGTCCTCCAGAAACTTCCAGAGAAAAGGTACATGAAAGGTGTATCTTTGAAATCTGGCATGTCTTTGTAATGTGTTTTTTCTTCTCAGTTAATAGAACTCAAGTATAGTATTCAAGCGTGAAAATAGTTTTCACTTGTATTACGAATGTGTTCCTTTTTGCTTTCAGTGCTAAGAAGCCTGACAAGCCCCCCACCCCCACCCCCGGCCCCGAGAATATTTACAGAACACACACCCAGTGTTCCAGGCACATCACAGTTGGCTCTGGAGATAGCGTTGTCACTCTCCCTGTTTTAGAGCGGAGGGTTTGTCCATGCTCACATGGCAAATCCAGAGTCCTGCTTCAGTGAACTATTCTGATACTGTTCTTATTGGGAGCCCTTTTGTATGATTCTCCCTCCCCGAAAATGTTTAAGATTTTCTTTTATACAGTTATTTTGACGCTCAGTAATGTACCTTGGTTTCACCTTTTCAGGTTTGTTGTGCTGTGTAGGTAGTAGACTCTTTGAGGATTAGATTTTTACAGTTGACTATATATATTGATAATTTGTATACCTCTTTGATTTCATAACGTCTCTTCATTAATCTTGAAACACCACTTCCTTCAAGCTTCCCTGTTTCTAAACAACCAGTAAAGTCTCTTTACAAAGCCTGATCTCAGTCCAGTGTTCCCAGGTGAACATCCCGACCATCAGAGTTCCTGAACACAGCTGTTCTGTTCCTGCAGAGCCACCTTCAAGGGGGTACCCCTAGGAGTTTAGGATCTTGTGGAGAGAAATGGGCTTAGGAGAATGTTGTGGGTCAGAGTTTTTAAAACAAATTTTCCTCACAGGAAACAAAAGCAAGGGGTGCTGAGAAGAATGAGAACAGTGTGGGTACTGTCTACCTCTAGTCATTCCCTAGCCCAGGTAGCTCTCAGCATCTCCTGCTTGGCTTTGTTTTGCCTTAGTGCGGGACAGAGGCTCTTTCTGGTGCTCCAGCTCTGTGTTCAGTGTCTTTTGTGCATTAGTGACAAGGACGTAATCTCACTGTGCTGTGAAAAGGATGAGGTGTGGAGATGGAAGACCTCTGGCTGAGCAGGTGCTTCCCCAGGCCCCTCACCCTAATCTCCTCCAGGGCAGGTGCGTGCCAGCAGGATGTGGGAACACAATCCGGCAGACTTCCTTCTCCCTCCACTGAACTGTCTGTGCCCCACCCCCACGAGAGAGAGAGAGAGAGAGAGAGAGAGAGAGAGAGAGAGAGAGAGAG